TAATTTCTTTTTCTATTTCTTCCTCAACCCAGGAATGGTGTAATTGGGTGTTATTCAATTTCCACAAGTTTGTAGGTTTTCTGCAATTTGTATTGCTGTTGAATTCTAGCTTTAAAGCATGGTGATCTGATAAGACACAGTGGGTTATTTCAATTCTTTTGTATCTGTGGAGGTTTGCTTTGTTGCCAACTATGTGTTCAATTTTAGAGAAGGTGCCATGTGGCACTGAGAAGAAGGTATATTCATTTGTGTTTGGATGGAATGTTCTATAGATATCTGTTAACCCCAATTGGATCATAACTTCTACTAGATCCTTTGTTTCTTTGTTACCTTTCTGTCTGGTGGTTCTGTCTAGTGGTGAAAGCAGGGTGTTGAAGTCTCCTATTATAAGTGTTTATGGTTTGATGTGTGGTTTGAGCTTTAGGGATGTTTCTTTTATAAATGTGGGTGGCTTCGTATTTGAGTCATAGATGTTCACGATTGAGACTTCATCTTGATGGACTTTTCCTGTGATGAGTATGAAATGCCATTCTTCATATCTTTTGATTGATTTTAGTTTGAAGTCCGATTTGTTAGATATCAAGATTGCTACACCAGCACCACGTTTATAGCAGCATTGATTGTAATAGCCAGAACCTGGAAGCAACCTAGATGCCCCTCAACTGAAGAATGGATAGAGAAAATGTGGTACATTTATACAATGGAGTACTACTCAGTAGAAAAAAAGCAATGGAATCTTGAAATTCATAGGCAAATGGATGGAACTAGAAGAAACCATCCTGAGTGATGTAACCCAGTCACAAAAAGACAAACATGGTATGCATTCACTCATATATGAATTTTAGACATAGTGCAAATGATTACCAGCCTACAATCCTTTTCACCAAAGAAACAAGGAAACATGAAGGACTCTAAGGGAAAATGCATAGACCTCAGGAATGGGAAAGGACAGGAACTCCTGAGCTAATTGGGTGCATAAGGGTAGGGGAGAGGGAGCTGCCAGAATCAGAGGAGGAGAAGAGGAGCGGAGAGGGGGAAATAGAGGAGCAGAAATATTGAGTTGGGGGAAGAATAGAGGAGAGCAGGATGAGAGATACCATATTAGAGGGAGGCATTATAGGTTCAAAGAGGGATCTGGCACAAAGGAGATTTCCAGAGACTTACAACCATGACAGGAACTGAAAATCCAGGCAATGGTGGAGAGGATAACCTAAATGCCCTTCCCCTAAAATGAGATTGAGGACTACTTTATATGCCATCATAGTGCCCTCATCCAGTGGCTGATGGAAGCAGAGGCAGACATCCACAGATATACACTGAGCTGAACTCTGGAACTTAGTTGCAGAGAGGGAGGAATAAAGATCCAAAGCATCGGTACCAGGCTGGTGAAACCCACAGAAGAGCTGGCCTAAACAAGGGGGAGCATATTGACCCCAGACTGCTGTCTGGGAGGCCAGTACAGGACTGATCCAGACCCCTGAACATGGATGTCAATGAGGAGTCCTCTGCACTCTAGGAGGTGCCGGTAGTGCATTAGTATTTTTCCCTGGTGTAAGAAGGGATTTTGAGAACCAATCCCACATGAAGGGATGCACTCTTGCTCTGGACACATGGGGAAGGGCCTAAGCCCAGCTCAGGATGATGTGGTAGACTTTGAGGAGCCCCCATTGAGGGCCCTACACTGCCTGGGAAGTGGAGGGTGGATGGGGTGGATGGGGTGGCGGGTAGGTGGTGGGCTGGGGAGGAGGGGGAGAGTGGAGGGGGAGGGAGGAGGGATTGATATGTGAAACAAGCCTGTTCCTCATTTGAACTAATAAAAAAAACTATTCCATTTCTAAAAAAAAAAAAAAGTTAAATCTAGAGTAAAAACTTGAATGAAGCCTTACATATTAGCTAAATTTGCAATGGGCAATTGAAAAGAAATAACTGAAATAAAAATAAAATAATGTTTTCTGTGCAACTGAAAATACAAAAGAGTATATACAGTGACTGGTTTAATGTGAAGAACACATAAATATTGCATTGTGATACTAATTAATAATACATGTGAAGCCTCTTAAGGTCCACAAAAAACTTGTGAAGAAAATGCAAATTTTCCAAAGACATTGGAGAATACTCCAAGAAATCAAGATGTAGAATTTTAACAAAAAATTAAATGGGTGACATTTTTTCTAAAGAGTACACAATGCAAAAAACTGTGTAAAGTAATATAAAACTCTGATTGCACATATCTTTTATAAATTGATTCTAAGTCTCTTCTGGTTATTTATAGATTTTTTATGCATGCATAGGAAACAAGCAAAGCCATCACAACAAACTACAAAAGATACTTCTGATTCAAATGTAACTCATTAAAAATTGTTCCTTCTATTTCTAGTTAAACCAAGGAAAACCCAGAGTGTGTTACTTAGAATTTTACGTATCCAATGACAAAAGGGGAAGTTAATCATTTCACAGCAAAATCAAGGTAAAAATTTTTTGATAAACAGACTCAGAAACCTCACATAACATTCTACACTAAGCCAGAAAGTGTCAAAATTATTTTTGAAAAAACTTAAACAAAACAAAAATACTTCTTAAGATTTTTTTCTTCAAAAAGAATAAAACAAAGACATGTAATTGCTACCGTGACAGCATTCAGACTGTCCCTCCCACACATTTCTTCAAATTGGAGTATGTGTTCTTCAAGAAATCTGAAATATGCTACCCTGGGGCATCAAATGCCCATTTTACATTGCAAATATGTTTGAATTTTTGTTTTATAGTATTAGAATAGGGTTTAAAAACTAACATGTAGAAAGTTCCTGGTGATGTTCTCAATGCCTTATGGACAATCTTTCATTTAAGGCATTTCATTAAACAGAGAAGCATTGAGCTCCCAGAATGTTCTTTCTGACATGCTCACCCAGTGAAAAGTTGAGACGTTATATGATGGGGAATGTACTGTGTATGTTTATCTTATTGATTGTTGAATAAAATACTGTTTGGCCAATGAGACAGCAAGTTAGACGGAACTAGGAGTCAAAGAGGATTCTGGGAGATGTAGTAGAGAAGTGGTGGTCTAGGCAGGAAGTGACATAGCAAGGAGACTCATATTTGAGTGAGGAGAAACGGGAAGTTTTCTCCTTTTTCCCCTCGGCTCCTGCTCCAGCGCCATGATGTGATCCACTGACAAGGAGGGACGCCAGTAAGGTGTCTGATAAGATAAGTCTTATAAAATATATGTTTATGATAATTGAGACTGAGCTAACAGATGAGGAATCCTAGTCATTGGCCAAGCAGCATTGTACCTAATACAAGTTTCTGTGTAATCATTTGGGCCCTAACTCGGGTGGGCAACTGGCGTAAAGCTCACACATGGCGGTAGGGCTCAGGCAGCTTATGGTAGAAAGATTTATCGTAACAGAATGGTGTCAGAAGTGGGATGACTCCATGCCTCAAGGTTTCCAGAGAAAGAAGTAAACCTGCCGCCACAGCCTGCCCTGTCCGGCCGCTGAGAGGCATCAGAGCAGCTTCCATATGCTCGCGCCATCCCAGAGCTTCTGGGGTTTAGACTCGGCACTCCCAAGATGATAAAGACAGATCCAGATAAAGAAAAACCTCTAAAGGTTTACACTATATTAAAAAATATATGTAGGCTTGTGAGAGAAAAAATAACAGGAAGAAATAGATTAGCCAGTTGTGGTGGCACACACCTGTAGGATTTGCTGAAGGAAGCAGAGGCAGGCGGATTTCCTCAGAGGAACCCTGTCTCAGAAAGAAAAAAAAGAAAGTAAAAGTAAAGTAATAAAAAAGCCACATAAAGATAAAAAATACAGAGAGAATCTGGATACTAAATGCCATATTGTTGTCTTTAAATTGTTTGATTGCCGAGGAAAGACTTATTGCTGCTAAAATACATTTGATTATAAATGCTGCTAAATTAATCCAACTTATACATTTTAAAAAT